GAGAGAGAGAGAGAGGAGGAGGAGGAGGGGGAGAGACATAGAGTGGGTATATGACAGACAGATAGGTAGATTCTAATCTACGTGCATGTTATTGTAACAGCATATTTGTAATGCAGTGTCTCTTATTGGTTAGATAACCTTTTTCACCTTCCGTCTTAAAGATAGAGAGAAAGCTAATCTTAAAATAAAATCTATATGACTTATGAAATTATTGCTCTTCTTTTACAATGTGCGTAAAGCAGTATTTCCCCAATGAGTTTATCCTCTTTGTTTTGGTTTTTTTCCTCAGCAAATACATCAACGCCATGGATGCAGCCCAAACGGGAGCCCTGACCATGTTGTCCGTTGTTGGGAACATTTGCGTCGTGCTATTTGCCTTTTACTCCTTCATCGCCTGGGTCAACCACACTCTCAGCTGGTTTGGTGATCGAGTAGGAATCGACAACGTAACCATAGAGGTGTGTATCCGAAGTGTCCTAGGTGTTCATCCGGGTGGGACTACTGTGAAATAGATTCAGTTTACCTTGACACACTCTCGGTTGGTTTATTTGGAGATCGAGTAGGAATCGACAAATTAAATATAGAGGTATGTGTCCGAAGTGTCCCGGATATTGTTTCTGTTGTGAATGGTGAAATAAATTCAGATCATGTTGACACACTCTCAGCTGGTTTGGAGACTGGGTAGGGATCGATCGACAACTTGAAGATAGAGGTAACAATGTGTCCGAAGTTTCCTGTATATTCTTCCAGGTGAAAATTGTGAAATTCAGTTTACCTTTGTGTTTTACTCTAATGTGAAAGATAGTTATACACTCATGATTGAGCAATCGAAATAAAGCGTACATGCTCGACAAAACCAATACGATGGTGAGCAAACTTGGTTTTGTTGACAACTCTGTCGAAAACTGGCTGACCGTGACTGCACAGCTATGTACCAGGAAAGCTCCTAACTCTATCCAGAGCTATGCACAGTCAGCCTGTCATTCCACCCCAGACCACCCAAAACCAGTGCAGTTTTGTGGCCTCTTTTCTCACTGACAGATAATTATGTCCAAAAACCTAACTAACACAGTCCATGTTAAAAAAAGGTTTCGTGCTCGACACAAAACCATTACCTCCTAAACAAACAAAAAAATTAATACTAATGAACACATGCTATGTTAAGTCTAGGTTTTGTATGGTATTTGTAACTACTCTGTTCTCCAATATGTATGAAAATATCATCAGAAGATGCTGTTCAACTCAGGGACAATAACATTCTCTTTTCATTTGGCATTCAATACATTTCTCGGGCGTCTTTCAATATAGATGATCCAATAGTTTGTTAGATGATGCTTAATTTATTTAGCTTTAAATTGGTATGCTGCATAAATTGGTAATGCGACGCTTTAATACGATGATAGGGTGATTATATTTTCAAGTTTCTTTTGGACGCCACTGTATAATAATAAATAGCATTTGTGTGAAGAATACCCCCTCTCAACAGCGAGCTCTAATTACCCTTTCCACTATATTATTATCATTATCCCAGCAGAACATTGAACACTCAGAAACATTTTCAGCTTCCCAGGAAGCATACAGTGCAAACAGCTGATTAAGCGCTCAAACACTAACAAACTGTAAAGATCTTTCGCTTTCCATTGCTGGGTACCCATATAGCGCTAATGACAATGCTATGGGTTTATTCTTAACCCCCTCCGTGCTTGACCCGAAACTGTCTTGATATATTTCGTAGAATTACGGAGTTTAATTTAAAAAACAGGACTCGCAATGCAGTGAAAAGGTTAACCACATTTCGATACCATCAATACAAAACATTGTAAGTCGTCTCATTTTCTGTGTCGTCCTCAGTACATCTCCTCCTACCTGCTGTATCCTGTTGCCCTGGGGATGGGCGTGGATCCAGAGGATTGCAGGAATGTCGCCATGTTATTAGGATACCGTATAGGTATCTACAATGTCTTCGCGTTCTTCAAGGTACGATAATAATGGGGTCATAAATGACAGCTGGACAGAAACAAGAAGTAATGACTGATAGTTACATACTGAGAAATGGATATGAGTAGATAGGCAGACAGGTAAACACGTAGAAAGACGGATGGATGGATGGTTGGATGGATGGATGGTTGGATCAATACAGAGTAATAATATTATAATAATAATGATGATGATGACAATGATGATGATGATAATAATAATAAAAATAATAAATAATAATAATAGTAATAGTGCTCACAGCGTAGTAATAATAAAATGATCTGTCTATGAGCAATTCAGAAGCACAGGACAAATAACGTTCTTGAGAATGGGCCATGGTGTGACTGGGGGATTCTTTTTAGGGGTGGGGACGTCGATTAGAATTAACTGATAAATGTCTACTTCACCCCCCCCCCCAAGTTCTTAATTAATATGTCTTCCTCCCATGACGTCACGGCTCCTCTCATATCAGCCGCACAGGGAGTGGACATGTTGGGTGTGAGTGGTTGGCCAAGTAAGTTCCGAGTTGAGGGCTGACGTGGACCTTTACCACAACGTGCTACCTTAAGAATGTAGGCATGTCTCAAACCAACGTAAACAGAGCCTAACCCAGGTGAAAGCTCACCTCCTGGAAATGCAGGCCAGTACTTTTTAAGCCACTTGTATTACAATATTTTCCAATAAAACAAACTTCGCAAAAAGGCATAGAATTACCACAGCCCCCCTCCAAAAAAAAAGATGCTTGACAAAAAAAAAGCCCAACAAAATCGTTTTCCATACTTGTCCTCAGCTTGCTGACATCAAGGTGAACAAAGTTAAGTACGCTCAGTACATGCTTGCCACCAACTATACAGGCCCAGTTACCGAAACACGCGATGACCTTGTTCTTGAACTGTGGAATGTCACTCTCAAAGACGGCATAATCAGTGTAAGTCAATGTAGCTTCCAACAGGCAGTAGAGAAAAATCGCCACCTCAGAATTACAAAGTTCTGTCTGACATTTTTGGCTGTTTTGAGTAACTAAGACCATGAGGTTTGAAAGTAAATGCTGTACCTGGTCTTTAAAAAATTGGTAAGAATATTAAGAGTCGTTTTCAAGATATTCAAACAACTGCATTGGAAAAAGATTGACATGTTGTGAAACCCAAACATTTTGTACCTCAAAATTCTCAAAATTGGGTACAGAGCAGATAGAACTTTGTAATTCTGATGTAACGGACAGGATGAGTCTGTTCTTGTACTGTGTTGTTATAGTTCTCCAAGTCGATGCCACACTAACAGGACCGTTGAGTCATTCTTTTTCTATATAGTTTTGAGCAACACCTGGAGAACAAAATAAATTGTACAATGGGAATTTTATTTATTTACTGATTTCTATTAGGGTTTTTACTATAGTTTTCACTTCCTGATTTTTTATATTTCTTTTAGTTAGCTAGATCTAGATATTGTATCCTCTTTCGATGGGATTATTTTTATTTCTATTTATTTTTCATTTAAATCTTTAAAAAATAAATTGCTTCTATGTATTTATGTATGTATTTATTTGTTTGTGTG